GACTTCAAGCCCATGCATCTTCTGGAAAAAGGATGTGGGGCCAGGCCCTGTGAGGTGAGGAAGGCCTCTGAAGCTGAGGAGGGGGTTCCTCAGGAGGCCAGACCCCCCCCAAGGAAGGGGGAGGCCCTGGGGCAGGAGAAAGGACAGTGGCCTAAGAGGAAGGGGCCTGCACTCGGCCTAGGAGGGAGGTGGGGAGGTCGGGTTTGGGGAGGGGGCTTGCCTGAGGCTGAGGAGCTGGCACAGGGAGGATGAGGCCCGGAGTCAGCGGGTCCAGGGCCTAGAAATCGGAGCCTGGGCTGGGTGGGGGCCTGGAGGTTGGAGGCCAAGGCTTCCTGGGAGAGGAAGAGACCAGAGAGGGTCCAGGTGGCATCTGGGGGCCCCAGGGTGCTGGGATCCGGGGACAAGGCTGCTTGGAAGATGGGGACCAGGCCTGGGAATGGAGAGACCTTGAGGAATCCAGAAAAGGCCCTGGGCCCGGGAAAGGTGGAAACCAGGTTCCGCGAGAGAGGGCACCCACGGGGCCGGGTGTGTCCTGGAGGGGCAGAGGGCCCGGGGTGAGACGAGGGGGTGCTGGGGGGCCGGCCCCCAGCCTCGGACGAGGAAGGCCGGGGCGGAGGCAGGACTGGGCCAGGCCTGGCCTCCCGGGAGAGGGCCGGGGCTGGGCCTGGGGGTCAGGGGCCCTGCGGGTCCAGGAGGGGCGAGCTGCCGAAGCGGCCGGCTGCAGGGGAGGGCCCGCACTCGCCAGAGAGGGAGGGGCTCCTGGAAGCAGGGGAGGGGGCTTCCTGGAGGGAAGAGTCCCGAGCGGAAGCGGTCCGCGCCGGGCGCGAGGGGTCCCGAGAGAGGGGCGCCCCGGGCCGGGCTGGGCTGGGGCGGGAGGGCCGGGAGGCACGGAGTCCGGCGGGGGTGGGGGCGGCGAGCCGGGTCGAGCCCGGGAGACGCGAGCGGCGACTCGCGGGCCGGGGGACGCGGCGGGGCGGGGGGTGGCGGCCGGGCCGGCCGGGGCTCCCCGAGGGGCCGGGCCGCACTCACCGCGTCCGAGTTCCGGTCGTTGCCCGGGGCCAGGGCCGTCCGCGAAGACATCTTCTCCGGGCCCGGGGGCAGGGGCGGCCGCGTGGGGGGGGCGGGGATCCTGGGGTCCCGGTCTCCCCTCCCCCCCCGCCGGCCGGGGACGCGCTCAGAAGCTGGGCACGGTGGACGCCGGAATCCGCGCCGGGGAGGCGGGCGGGGCGGGGGGCGGCGCGCCGGGCTGGCGGGCCGGCGGGCCGGGAGGGGGCGCGGAGCCGGCGGGCGGCGGCGGAGGGAGGCGGCGGAGGGGCCGAGGAGGAAGGGACGTCAGGGGGAGGGGCGGCCGGGGCGGGGCCGCCGAAGCCCCGCCCCCCGCCGCCGGCCCTTAAAGGCGCAGGCCCGGGCTGGCCGGGGGCTCCGGGGGTGGAGGCAGGTCCGGGCGCGCAGGTGGGGAGCGTGTTCCTACAGGACGGTGGCGACTCGCCGGAGGAGAGAGAAGGGGAGAGAAACGCCGGGGCAAAGCGCCAGAGACGCAGAGAAAGTAGTGAGAGATGTAGAGAGAGACGCACACAAAAAGAGAGAGACGGGGATACAAAGGGACAGAGAGAGCCGGCGACAGGAGGAGGGAAGCGCAGAGACACGGCAGGGTGAACGGAGGCGAAGGAGGGCAGAAAGAGGGACAAACGCAGGGAGCAAAAACACAGAGTGTGGGAGCGGCAGAGAGACCGAGAGAGACAGAGACAGAGAGAAACCAAGACTGAGAGACAGAGACAAAGAGATACACACAGAGACGCAGAGATCCGCGGGGCAGGACCCAGGTGCCCACACCCTCGCTCGCGGCCCACCCTCTTGCGAGTCGCGGCTCCGCACAGAGCCCTCGGGGTGCGGAGGGGTGGCGGGGCGAGCGGGGCGCCTGGCCACTGCGGAGGCGGACTGACCTCCCGAGTGACACCGCCTCACCCCGGAGCTCCAGACCCCAGGGTTGGGGCTGCAGTGTCCTCTCTATCTGGCAGCGGGACCCGCGGGCAGGAACTCGCCCTTTCTGGGCCTCACTTTTCCAGTTTGTAAAATGGGGGGACGGACAGGGATGGGACTCCCTGGCAGGGTTGGTGCAGGGGCAAAGGAACCCTGTGCGGGAATCACTTATGGGACACAGTGACTCTCCAGATGGGCACACTCAGACCTGGCCGAAGCCACACAGTGGTGTGGGGACTGCCCGTGGCCTCCAGACCAGGGTGGGATGAAAGAAAGGGGCTTTTCGTAGTCCTGGCCCAGAATCACACAGTCCTGGGATGGTGTCTGTGCCCTGCCCCACCCCCACTCCAGTCTATCTGACCACCTTCTTGGGCCTCAGTTTCCCTTTCTAAAAAATGGGTGTGTTGGTAACAGGAGTGGGCTGGAGCTGGCTCAGGCGAGCCGATTGTCAAACAAGTTGATTGTTACAGTCTCAGGAATTTTGGAACTGGTGGTTAACCACAGCCATTATTAGAAATTAAATTATGCAAACATACAATCAAACAAATTGTATTAATAGTACAGGTAATACATACTCATCACATCCAAATTATTTGACTACATCTACTATTATCTATGATCCTGAGGTTGTTTACATGTATTTTATCTGCATAGCGAAACTACCGTATGATGGTGGGCCACCTAGTGCATCTCTCCTCCAAAAATGCTTTGAGCGACATCACCTTGGTAGCCTGGAATTAGCCACGGTGGGAATATTTACACAATGGAAATTGGCAAGTGCTGCAAATCAAGGCTCGCCAACCCCCGCCCACAGAGAGCTGGTTGTTAAACATTAACTGGTTGAAACTATCACCTACATAGAATCATGGAGGCTTCCCCTGTGGCAGGCTCTGAGCACTTTATCCTTCCTGCCACCCCATGAGGTAGGGCACATCGTTGTCAACCCCATTTACAGATGAGGAGACAGAGGCCCAAGGAAGAAAAGTCACATCTGAAGGTCACACAGCTAGTGAGTGGCAGGGCTGGGATTTGAACTTCCAAGCGCCCCCAAACCATAGCACCTGGAGTTTCAACCACTATGGTGTCCTGTCCCTGAATAATAATAGTAGCAACCTCAGGCTGGGACAATCAATGAAAAAAATGAGTAAAGCGCTTCACAGGGGGTGAGATTAGAACTTCCTATGTAGGGACATTCTTATTCTTACTCGGCAAATGGAGCCTGAGGAGTCTCAGGGAGGGAAACAGAGAGGCAGGAGTTCAGGATAGTGTTCTAGAAGCACCCAAGGGCCCTGCAGGGTGAGGGATGGGATGGAGTGGCTGAACTCCGCCCCCCAATCATGTCCCAGCCCTAGCACTGAGACCTGCAGTTCCCCCTGCGCCACACGGGGGCAGCAGATCGCCACCCTGCACAGGCTGCCTCTCACTACATAGGACACTCCCTTGCTCCCCTGTCCCCGGCACTGGCCACACCCCATTTCCCAGATGAGGGGACTGAGGCTTACAGAGGGGGCGGCTATAAATGGATGAACCTTGAAAACATTGTGCTGTAAGTGATAGGAGCCACTCACAAAAGGCCACAGAGTGTACGATCCCATTTACATAAAACGTCCAGAACAGGCAGGTCCACAGGGACAGGAAGGGGACCAGTGGTTGCCAGGGCCTGGGGGGGGGGTGGGAGGCGGGGAGTAATGGGGAGCGACTGCCAATGGTATGGGGGTTTCTTTTTGGGGTGATGAAAATGTTCCAGGATTAGGTAGCGGTGATGCTCATCACAACCTTGTGAATATACTAAAACCCACAGGACTGTGCCTTTTAAAAGAGTGAATTTCATGGCATGTGAATTACATCTTAATAAAAAATTAAACTAAACTGGAGAATTCAGTCTTGAACTGAGGCCTTCAGCCCTTTGAATCTTTTTTGTTTGTTTGTTTTTTGAGACAGAGTCTCACTCTGTTGCCCAGGTTAGAGTGCCTATTTCACAGCAACCTCAAATTCCTGGGCTCAAGCAATCCTCCTGCCTCAGCCTCCCGAGTAGCTGGGACTACAGGCATGCGCCACCATGCCTTGCTAATTTTTTCTGTATATTTTTAGTTGGCCAATGAACTTCTTTCTATTTTTAGTGGAGACGGGGTCTCGCTCTTGCTCAGGCTGGTTTCCAACTCCTGACCTTGAGCCATCTGCCTGTCTCAGCTTCCCAGAGTGCTAGGATTACAGGCGTGAGCCACCGCACCAGGCCAAGCTCTTTGAATCTTAAAACTGGGTCACTTCTCCATCTGCTGGGATTGGGGTCTGCTGCGACCCTAATGCAGACCCCAGCCCCGACTTTGCCAAGGCTGGTGATCCCTCCTAAACCCCCAAACCCGGCCCTTAAAAGTCATGCAAACTCCCAAATCCAACCGCACACAAGGCCTGACCCAGCCCCAGCCCCAACTACACCTGCCATGTGGACTGTCACTGTAGCAGAAGCCACCCCAGACTCGCCTCCTGTCCCCAGCGCCACCACTCTGTCCCCACTGATGCAGTCCTTTCACAAATCTCCACTGTGCGCTTGCTATGGGCCAGGCAGGCAGCCAGGGATGGGACCCAAAGTCCCCTTGCTGAATTTACATTCCAGTGGAGGGACACAGTCCCAGAATCTGCAAGGAAGCCAGATGCCTCTGATAACTTCAGACTGTGGAAGGTGCTACATAGGGACTGGCATATCAGAGTGACATCCTGGGAGACAGGGGACCCAGGGGAGCCAAGGAAGGGGCGACAGAGCTGAGACATCAGGAGGGGACCATGCAGAGACCTGGGGTGGAAGCTTTGAGGCAAAGAGAACTAGAATTCCAGAGCTGTTCCGGTGCCACCCCCGTCTGGCCCAAGCCCAGGCTTTGGGCCCAGAACTTTCTTTGAGGTCTTCGCCCCATAGCAGGGACGCCCTCCCACCCTCCTCGCTCCAAAGGCCTCAGGGCTTGCAGGCTGGAAAGCAGCTTTGGGTTCCAGTCCAGCACAGGGAGCCTCCTGGGGTGCCCAGGATGGTGTTGTCACAATGGGAGGCGTGAAGAGCCCGAGGTGGGGGGCGGGCTGTGGGCTCCCCAGCCCAACCGCAGCCTGGCCAGAAAGGGCAGACAGATAATGAGTCCTTCCCGCCCCTGGCCCCAGAGAGGGAGGGGTTTCCTGACAGGAAATTGTCCTCCTCCGAGCCCCCCCACCTTCAGATCCAAGCTCTCCGCAGTCCTGGCAGAAGTAGCCTGGAGACAGGACAGCAGCAGGGCCAGAGGGACAGGCACGAAGGACAGAGGTGAGTGTGCTGGGGGCAGGGGGAACATTCACACCCCCGAGTGCCTTTGGGGAAGAGCCACTGCCCAGAGTCGGACTGGCCTGGAGTTCAGGAGAACCTGGGTCTTGAACCCAGGAGAGGCTGGGAGCAAAGAGAGAATTGGGGGTCTGACCCCAGGGGGGGGTGCCGGTGAGAGGGCAGAGGGGAGATGGAGCAGGGGGACAGTGCAGGGCAGCTCTTGGGGACTCTGGGGCCCAGAGAGGCTTTGAGGGAGCCTTGGAGAGCTCGGAACCACCAAGGGGGAAGAGAGATGAGACGACACTGGGTCCGATGCCCTCTGAGTCCCGGTGGGAAGACCGAGCCCACTGGGTGCTCACTCCGATCCATCCCAAGAGATGGGGTTTTGGCCACCGGAGATGGTGGCAAGAGCTGGGTTGGAGACCCAGTGGGAAGACAGGGGCCAGGTTGGAACCGGAGATGTGGACGGGCTTGCACCGGGCTAGGACGATGACAGGTCGGGGTCTGGGGCCGAGGACTCGACTGGGCTTGTATCAGTTGGGGCTGGGCTTGGGGACACACAGTGTGTCAGGATGGTTCTCTAATGCACATGCTGGGGACTGGAGGTGACAGATTCTGCAAACAGAGGTCAGGGCTTCTGCGCAGAGGGAAAAGGCTGGCAGCGAGGAAGAGGAGGAGGGGCCGGAGGAGGGAAGCTCTGGTGGCCAAGACATCCTGCAGGGCGGGCGGGAGGCTAGGGGCTTGAGGGATGCCTCGGAAGTGAGTCAGGGGCCGGGCACCAGGGGCTGGAGGGGCAGGATGTCACAGCCAGCTTGCAGAGGGGGTGTTGGAGCCAGGAAGAGGAAAGACGTCGGGGCCAGTTTTGGGAAAATGTTGCAGCCAGGTTTGGGGGTGTTGGAAAGAGTTTGAGGGTACTGAATCCAATTTAGTAGTAGTGGCGGGCGGGGGGAATGTTGGAGCCAGGTGGGACACTCTCAGACCTAGTTTGGACCACGTTGACTTCAGTTGGAGAGAAATCGGAAGCTGCAATTTTGGGGTGGAGGTGGAGACAGTTTTGGGGGTGATGATGAAGCCATTCTGGGAAGAGGCACGTGGAGGCCAGTTTGGAAGATGAAAGTCAGAGGAATCAGTGTGGGGACAGTGTGCGTGCATGAGGGGGGGTGTTGATCGCACGTAGCTGCAGGCTAGGGGTTGCCAAGGTGGCTGCCTCCCTTGAGGTAGAGGCCCATGGAGGCTGGAGGGAGATAGGAGGCTCAGAGTAAACATCTGGCATTTTATTTGCACGATTTTGTCCTAATCATACAGTGGAATATTATGTAGCACTTAAAATAAATGAACTAGAGCCATATGGCTAGACACAGATCAAGCTCATGTTGTAAGGTCACGATGTAAGCAAAACGATTTATAAAAGCACGTTGCAGGACCCAAATCGTATGACACCATTTATAGAGAGTTGGAAACCATGTAAAACAATACGTCTGGATACAAGTCTATGCAGCACGGGAAAAAGATCTGCTTGGACAGACGGACAGGACATTCTGAATGCTGGTTTCCCTGCGAGAAGGCCAGAGCGAGTGTGGGGGTAGGAGACGGCGGGAGGCTGCAATGCACTTTTCTTTTAAAAAACCCAAACCAAGGCTGGGCACGGTGGCTCACCCCTGTAATCCTAGCACTCTGGGAAGCTGAGACAGGTGGATCACTCAAGGTCAGGAGTTTGAAACCAGCCTGAGCAAGAGCGAGACCCCGTCTCTACTATAAATAGAAAGAAATTAGCCAAACAACTAAAAATAGAAAAAAAAAATGAGCCGGGCATGGTGGCGCATGCCTGTAGTCCCAGCTACTCAGGAGGCTGAGGCAGGAGGATCGCTTGAGCCCAGGAGTTTGAGGTTGCTGTGAGCTAGGCTGACGCCATGGCACTCTAGCCGGGACAACAGAGTGAGAGTCTGTCTCAAACAACAACAACAACAACAAAAAAATTGAAGCAAATACAGCAAGTGTTTGCATTTGATGTAGCTAAGATTGCAAGCACAGGGGTGTATATTAAGTTTGTTTTCAGTACTTTTCTGAATGTTTGGATTATTTCATCATTTTAAAAATCGCCCTTCCAGGGCTCCCCAGGGCCCATGGGGAAGATGAAATCCTTTGTCACAGCATTCAAGGCCCTGTGTGGCCAACTCCCTCCTGACCTCTCCCAGGTCCACTCACCGTGCCTCCTTCCCACTCAAGGAACGAACTGTCTTGCCTCCTTCCTTCCTTCACTTCCTGTGTAGCACCCATTCCCCGAGTGCCTGTCCTGTGCTGGGAGCTGGGAACATACACTGCGGTGACTGAGATGTCCCCAGCCCCACCCTCCTGGGGCTCACAGTGGAGCGGGGGACACAGCCCTGTCCCCAGATAGTGATGACCTGGAACAAGCAGGGGTGGGATGAGAAAGCCCATGGGCTGGGGGAGCCGGCGGGGTCAAGGAGGGCTTCCTGGAGGAGGGGGCATTGAGAATGAGTGCTGAAGCATGAATGGGGCTCCGCTAGTGCACGGGCACTGGGGAGCCATGGAAGGGTTAGGAGAAGGGGAAGGGCAGGTTTGCCACTTATTAAGGTCCTCAAAGGTGGACTGGAGGTGCCAAGACTAGAGGCTGGAGACCAGGGAGGAGGCTGGGACAGTGGGAAGGGAGTGAGAGGAGGGACCATGGACGGGAAAGAGAGACTTAGGAGATGGAACAGGCTGGACTCAGGAAGCCGTGAGCCCTGCCAGGGCAGGAACTGGGTCTGCTTTGGCCACTGCCATGTCCCTAGTGCCTGCACAGGGCTGTGGCCCACGGCAAATACCTAAGTACATTTTTTTTGTTTAGTTTTAATTGTGGTAAAATATACATAACATAAAATTCACTCTTTTAAACTATTTTATGTATTTATTTTTTTGAGGCAGGGTCTCACTCTGTTGCCCAGGCTGGAGTGCAGTGAGTGACACAACCATAGATCACTGTAACCTCAAACTCCTGGACTTAAGTGATCCTCCTGCCTCAGCCTCCCAAGTAGCTGGGACTACAGGTGTGTGCCACCATGCCCGGCCAATTTATATATATATATGTTTTAGTTGTCCAGCTAATTTCTTCCTATTTTTAGTAGAAATGGGGGTCTCGCTCTTGCTCAGGCTGGTCTCAAACTCCTGAGCTCAAACGATCTTCCTGCCTCAGCTTTCCAGAGAGCTAGGATCACAGGCGTGAGCCACCGCACCCGGCCTAATTTTTCTATTTCTTGTAGAGATGGGTTCTTGCTATGTTGCTCAAGCTGGTCTTGAACTCCTTGCCCGAAGTGATCCTCCCACCTCAGCCTCCCAAAGTGCTAGGATTACAGGCAGGAGCCACTGCCCACAGCCCTTTTAAACCATTTTAAAGTGTACAGTTCAGTGGCATTTAGTACACTCACAACATTGTGCAGCCATTACCTCTGTCTAGTTCTAGAACATCTTTGTCATTTCAGAAGGAAACCCCGTCCCCATTAGCAGCCACTCGCTGCCCTAGGCACCACGACTCTCCTCCCTGTCCCTAAGGATTTGCCTATTCTAGCTGTCTCCTGGTAAGTTTTTGCTGGAGGAATGAACAAACGAGGCAGAAATGACAGGGGTCCTAACCAGACAGGGGACAGGAGGGGATACAGGGTTGAGGCAGGTGCCGGGGAGTCTGGCCCAGATGTCTAGGAAGGTGGTGGGTCCTTGTGCAGCCTCCACCCTTGGAGGCTGTGCCACCTTGGGAGACAGCCTTCCTGGCTCTGGAAGGAAGACCAGAGGACGGACTAAGATCCCGAGTACTGGAGGGGTCAGGGCAGGAGGGGGGCAGGGAAAGGGTCTCAACGTTGGTGCTCACGGGAGAGAAACTGAGCTTTGCAAATAGAGACATTGGGTGCAAATCCCGACTCTGTCCCTGAATTCCTGTGGGAACTTAGGCAAGTGCCTTTGCACATCTGAGCCTCGATTTTCTCATCCGCAAAATGGGGATAGTAACAGTCACCATCTCACAGGATTGTGCAGATTCAAGGAATCACTAAGTGCTCAGACTGTGCCTGATGCACACACCTCCTCAAGTGCTCACACGCAGAGCACTGTCACCAACACCGTCGATGGTCTTCATTTCTCCTCCAGGTCCCCACCTGTGAAAATGCCCATCCTGAAGAGTCTAGGGGTGACAGACCCCAAGGTGCCCCGGGCGGGGACCCTGCCCCTGAGGTCCTCTCGGAACCCCTTCGAAGAAGTTCCAGGGCTGGAAGAAGAAGAGGCTGGGGAGCTGGGGACCCTGCCCAACGGGACATCCTGCCGTCGCCGCGCCACCCTGGAGAAGCTGGCGGGCCTGGCCCCCTTCCGGCTGGGCTGGGCCCCGGGCAGGCGGGCAGGCAGCCCCGGGGATGGGCAGCCCCGCTCCTTCCTGGGCCGCGTGCTGCCGCCGGGGATACGCAGGAGCTCAGCAGACTTTGGCCTCCTGGCCCGGCTTCAGGGGACCCGGACCCAGGGCGACGAGGAGACCGTTGGGGAGGCAGCCAGGAGACTGGCCTTCCTGAGGCTGGGGCGCGGGCCCAAGCCCCGGCGCACGTCCCTGGCAGAGAGAGTGGTGCCTGCCGGTGAGGCAGCTCCTGAACCCCCACCCAAGGTCCCGGAGCCCCCAAAGATGAAGGAGCCGTTGTCAGGTGAGTCGGGACCGTGACCTGGACCTGGGAGAATCATGGTGCCTGTTTCCATCCCCAGCCTGGTCGCCCTGGTCTTATACTTCAGCCCATCCCAGCCTCCCACCCCTCCCCCAATCCAGCTTCCCCCACCTGCCATCTTCAACCTCACCTGCCACTCCAGCTTTGGTCCCATCTCCTCCGATCCCCGCCCTACCCCCATTGTCAACCCCCTGTGCCCCCAACATTGAACTCAACCTCATCCACTTTCAACTGGATGGCCCCCCAACCTCCAGTCTCCGCCCCTCCTCGCCCACCCCCAATCTCTTTTCCCTTTCTGTCTCACACTGAACCTCAACCCTAACTCCAGCCTGATCCCAACCTCCACCTTCGACTTCATCCCTATCTCAGTTCACATCCAAATCGCTATCTTCAAACTCAGCCCCAGGCCCAGCCTCCCGCCTCACCCCTACCTGCATCCCCCCAATCTGTCACCACTCCTCTTCCTTTCCCAGGGCTGCCATGACAAAGTACCATGATCTGGGTGGTCCTCGTCATTCTCTCTGTGTGTGACTGTCTGTCTCTGTATCCCCGTTTCCCTTCCCTAAGGACATTGGTCACATTGCACTAGGGCCCACCCTAAAGACTTCATTGTAACCTGACCACCTCTGTGAAGACCCTATTTCCAAATGTCACCTTCTGGGGTACTGGGGTTAGGACTCACATACTGCTTTTAGAGGGACACGATTCAACCCACAACTCCACCCACCCCCTCCCCTCCCCCACTGTCCCGCTCATGCCTTTTCTGTTCCAAATTATTCCAATCCTGTCAGCAACCTCTGTCTTGACACATGTCCTTGTGCTTGTCCCCAACCCATAGCCTCCTCCAAGCACCATCTTTAGCCTCTTCTCCACGCCTGACACCTGATTGATGCCCAACACCCTGGTCTGGTCCCATTTCTCGTCCCATTCCTCCCATCCCGTGTCCCTAGTTCCATCCCATGTTCCAACATGTTTCAGCCCTTTCCCCTCTTCCGTCTCACTCCTAAGCCCAGCCCAGCCCCTCTCGGCAGCCACCCCCCAGCCCCAGGTCCCTCCTCAGCCCCCTTATTCAGTCCCATTCCCAGTCCGTCCCAGCCCCAGACTCCACCCCCAGCCCCAAACTCAACCTCCTCTCCATCATCAAACCCACCCCCAGTCCCAATCCTCCGTCCCCAGCCTGCACCTTCCCCTCCACCCACACTCCTACCCTGTCCCAACTCCCGGCTGGCCTGACTTCATTTTCAGACTCAGTCTCCCCCTTCCTCCCATCCTCAACTTCCTTCTAAACTCATCTCCCCCCACACCTCCCACCGCACCCCTACCCTGAGCCTGGCTGTCATTCTCAGTCCCTTGCCCACTACCCCTGCAGAGCAGGCACCAACCTCATCCTCCTCAACTCCCTCATCCCGACCCCACCCGCACGCCATCCTCATCCCTGGTGCCATCCCCAAACCTGTCCCGACCCCATCCTAACTGCCTCCCTCCCCACGCCCCCTCCCGTCTTCCTCTCCACTCCCAGAGCCAGGCTTTGGCCCCCTCGGGCCATGTCCCCCCCAGAGCCCTTTCTGTCCTCCGATCTTTCCACCGCTGGCCGGAGGCCGCTTCAGCCCCAGCTCCGGGGGACTGGGAGGGCACTGCAGGGGGGTGCGGAGGGGGTGCCTGGAGCCCCGCCTTCTGGAAACGGATGGGCAGAAATAGCTGGCCAGGAAATAGTTTCTCTGCCAGGGAGGAAGCGGAGGGGGGAGTGGAGGTGTCGAGGGTAACCCTGGGCCGCCGGGACCCTCCCGCTGCCACCCGGAGGCCTTCCAACCGCGGCTCCCCTCTGTCGGGATGGTCTGAACTTGCCAGAGCGCCGGATACCCCCACGGCCGTCCAGTCCCCAAAAGACCCCATCTCTAGTCGCATCCCCTCTCCCCATCTGCAAGCCCGTTCTCCCGCGGTCTCCATCCCCGTCCCCGCACCAGCCTCTGGTGTCCTCCCCCCCCCTCCTCCATTTCTTACCCCTCCCACTTCCTCTGGTCCCTTCCTCCAGCCCCACGCACTTCTCCCACCCTGACCCCTCTCCCCTCCCTAACCCACTGCCCTGACCCCTCACTCCGGCCCCTAACTCTTTCCCTCTTCCGCAATCCCACCCCAGCCCCTCACTTCCCGATTCGTCTCCCTCGCTTACAGACCCCGGCCCCAACTCTGCGCATGCGCCTTCTAGTCTTTTGCCCCCCACCCCATATCCAGACCCCCCCCCACCTCCAGAGATCCTCTTTCTTTCCCAACCTGCTGCTGTCCCCGCCCCTAGTCCTGGCCCGCTCCCTCACCCCCATCTTCTCTCCCCCACTCTACTCTCCCCTCCCCCCCCTCGCTGCACCCCTCTTCCGTGGACCTCCTCTTCCTCGCCTGGCGCCCACCTCTCCCCCACCCTCCTCGCCCCGCCCTCCCTACTCCCCTCCCCTGACCCCCGTGTCCCTCCCGTCTCGGGACCCATCCCTGGCCCCTCTCAGCGCCCACACCCCAGCCCTCCTGCCCCTCCTGGCGCGGTCGGGCGCTGACCCCGCCTTGCCCCCGCAGTGCTGGAGATCCTGAGCCTGATCCAGCAGCGCGAGCTGGCGCGGGCCGACGAGCACATCCTGGAGCTGGAGGCCGAGGAGCTGGCGTCGTCGGGGGGCGCCCCGGGCCCCCCCAAGGCCGAGGGCGGCGGCGGGGGCCGGCGGGCGCGGGACGTGGCGCTGCTGTACGAGGCGCTGCAGCGCGAGCTGTGGGCGCTGGTGCGCGAGACGCTGGCGGGCCCCGGGCCGGGCGCGGGCGCCGGGGCGGGCGCCGTGGCGCAGCTGGGCCAGGTGCTGGTGCAGGAGAGGCGCCGACGGCGCCGGGGGCCGGGGCCCGCCGCAAGCTGCGCGCCCGCTGGCAGAGGCGGTGGCACGCGCGGCGCGCGGGAGCGCCTGGAAGGGCGGCACCCGGGGCGCCCGGGGGCCTGGCGGGCCAGCTGGAGCGCTGCGGGCGCGGCTGCTGGAGGACATGGCGGTGGTGCGGGGCCGCCTGGCGCCCGCCTACCCCGCCGGCCTGGGCGCCTTCGGCGTCTACCTGCGCGGCTACCACAGCGCGCTGGCCGAGTGGCTGGGGACCTCCGCCCGCCGCGGCCTGCCCGCTGGCGATCCGTACGCGCTGCGTGCACGCACAACCAGGTGTACCCCAGGTGAGCGGGACCGCCTCGGGCTGCCCAAAGTCGCCTAGAACCCCAGCCCCACGCCCAGCACTGGCCTCTAGTGATCCCAGAGATTGGAACGCATCGACCCTTCCAGTCTCACTAAACCCAACACCAATTGGCCCTTCCAAGTTCCTCAGCTGGCCGACATTTGGCAATCTAGACCTCTCAGTCTGTCCACCCTCTGCCGCCTCGGCACCTACAACACCCCGCGCCCTTCCAGTCCTAGAACCTCGGCAGTGTCCTGGCCAAGAACCTCAGCACTGCGAACACTTAACACCCGGGATCACAGCCACCGCGGCACTTAACACCCGGGACCACAGCACCCGGCGAACCTAACACCCGGGATCACAGCATCCGCGAACACTTAACACCCGGATCCAGCCCGGCGAACCTTAACACCCGGGCACACAGGCACCGCGAACACTTATACACCCCGGGATCACAGCACCGCGACCATTAAACCCCGAGGATCACAGCACCGCGAACACTTAACACCCGGGATCACAGCACCGTGAACACTTAACCCGGATTCAACAGCACCGAGCGAACACTTAACACCGGGATCACAGCACCTGCGAACACTTAACACTCCCCGGATCACAGCCGCGAACACTTAACACCCGGGATCATACGCACCGCGAACACTTTAACACACCGGGATCACAGCACGCGAACCACTTCAACACCCGCGAGGTATCACAGCACCGCTGGACTCTAAACACCCGGGAATCACAGCCACCGCGGACAGCTTAACACACGCGGATCACATGCACCGCGGGACAACTTAAACCGGGTGATCACAGCACCGCGGACACTTAACACCGGATCACAGCAACCGCGGCACTTAACACCGGATCACAGCACCGCGCGGACACTGAACACCCGGGATACAGCACCGCGGACACTGAACACCCGGGATCACAGCACCGCGGCACTTAACACCCGGGATCACGCCGCGGACCTTTAAGCCGGACGACCGGACTTAACACCCCGGTACAGCAACGCGGACCCTTACATACCGGGATCACTAGCACCGCGCGGACACTTAACACTCCGGGATCAACCAAGCACCGCGGGACACTTAACACCCGGGAATCACCAGCACCCGGGCGTACACTTAACACCAGGGATCACCAGGCACGCGAGACACTTAACACCGGGATCACAGCACCGGACACTACCGGATCACAGCACGCACACTTAAACACCCGGGTGATCACAGCCGCGAAACACTTACACCCGGATACATGCACCGCGAACACTTAACACCCGGGATCACAGCACCGCGAACACTTAACACCCGGGATCACAGCACCGTGGACACTTAACACCCGGATCACAGCACTGTCCACCCTTCCACTATTAAGCCTTTTGGACTTAGAACCTTCATGTCATCTATAGTCACACTCCCAGAGTCTTAGTGACATTGACCCTTCCGGCCTTAAAAATCTTAGGACTTCCCACCCCTTCAGACCCAGAACCTATTGGCACCATCGATTCTTCCAGTTCCAACATCTCAGCACCACTGACCATTTCAGTCCCAGGAGCTCAGCTGTGGACCTGCCCCTGTCGCTGCCACTCACACTGCTAGAATCGCAGCTGTCCGCCCTTCCAGTCCCAGAGTTCCAGCACTGTTGGCCATTCCTGTCTAGAACCTTAGCCCCACCCACCTTTCACTTTAGCACACTGGACCCTTAGGATTCTAGAAGTCTTACACTGGCTTCTCTCTAGATCCCGGGCCACTGACTCTCCCAATCTTAAAACTTTAGATTTATGACTCTGTCGACTTTAGAACCTTAGCACCAATGAGCTTTCCAATCCTAAACCTTAGCCTCATCCCCGTTTGGATCTTAGAACCCTGACACTGTTTATCCTTCCAGTTTGAGGACTTGAGTGCTGTTGGCCCCTTCGATTCTATAATTGTAACATCCAGAACCTCCATACCCTTGACCCCCACCCCCCAAGTCCTAGAATCTTACGACTGAGACTTTGACTCCTAAAACATACCCATTCTTGTGGCTGGAGGATGAAATGTTTTGATTAGCTACAACTGGGTCTCCTGTCCACTGCAGGGAAGAGGGACTTAGCCATACCCAAACCACACGTCGGAGAGTGAAAGGGGTGGGTGGTTATCCAACAAAATCAGAAGAATGGGAAGGCAACAGCTACCAACATCAACCACATGATGTCATTTGGGAATACATGTGACATGCCACCCGTGAGAGATGGAGGCAGGATAGGGAGTCTGGAAGCTTCCTGGAGTGGTGGGACATGGGTTAGGTCCAATCTGTAGGGAGATGGTGTTTCTGATGGAGAGGAAGCCATGAGCCTGGTGTGCGTAGGGGTGGCAGGGCATGGGGTGGGAGGGATGCATAGTTTGAGGCATGCAGGGGAGTAGAAAGAGGGGAATGGAGGCTGGATGGGGAGGCTGCCAAGGCCAGGAGCAGAGGAGGAAGGGAGCTTTTGTTGGCTGAAGGTGATCATGGGTGAGGCCTTGCGTGTCAGATCACCAAGCCCGAACTTGACCCTGCAAATCTTGCCCGGACACCATCCATCAGGGAGCTGACTCAGAGAGCTGGAACCGGGGGAGCCACAGTCCCAAAGACTTCCTTTGAGGGATGAGCAGAGCTGGCTCAGAGAGAGGAAGGGAGTGGCCCAGGGTCACAAACACAGTGAGTGGGGGACAGGTCTGATTGCCTGGCCCCACCTCTCACAGACCTCCCTGTCTCTCTCCCCCCAACCCCAGAGAGGTCCTAGGGCTGGTGGACATGGTCGCCCTGGAGAACGGGGAGCTGGGGCCCCTTCTGTCCCCTGGCACCCTGCGGGGTTTGGAGGATGAATGTGTCACAGACGTTAAGGTACCTGGAACTTGGCAATTCGGGAGTGGGAGGGGCTTTGCAGAGAGAGAGGAGTCATGGTGGCTTTGGGGGCCCTCTCCCCTCCCCCTTTCACTATGTCCATCTCCCGTTTCCGTGTGTGAACCTCTGAGTTCTGTCCACAAGCCATCGACATTCGCACCCAAGCTGATCATTTTGTTTCTGTTCAGGCACCAGCCCCCAGGCGTAGAGACACTCAGTGAAGGATCAGTACATTCAGACACTTCAAATCTTAGGGCAAGAGAAAGTTTAGTCCCAGAACCTCAACTCAGGGGCCCAGGGACTCGAGGAAGTACAGCATGGAAGCAGCTTTGCACATAAGCAGGGCTGACAGTAAAGGGTTAACAGGCTAATGACTGCTGGGCACCGCTGGGCAGAGTGGCCCCAGTCATGAACACCCTGCCTGGCCACGGTGGTGGTTTCCTGTCCGAGTGCCAGTTCCCCCAGCCACGGCAGTCAGAATCCCTGTGACCCTAACCCTAGCATCATAGAACTGAGCATATCTAGATCCTTTAAAGACAACACATCGACCAGGGACTCGGAGATGTGTAAATATCCATGATCCCAGACCTTCGGAATTCTTGAATCACAGAATCTGAGAATCTCGAACTAATTGTTTGGCAGAACCTGAGAGCAGAGGCTTTCAACCATCAAACGACGACAAATAGACCCTTAAGCCCCTTGGCTATTAGGCGGAGGAAGCTTAGAACCACAGACTGTAATATAATATGCAGCTCTAAGCCATAGACTCGGGACCGCAGGGCTGAGGAGCTTTCCTGGTTCGGCCTCTCTCTCCAGCATCACCCGGGCAAGCTAGAGGGTGGAATCCAGGACTGCTGGGGCTTAGGGCGAGTGGCTTGTGGCAGAGAAAGAGAGATCAAGGCAGCCCCCGCCCCTGCTGCCTGTCTCCCGGCTGCAGGCTCAGACCCGGGCAGCCCTGCTTCGAGTGCTGCAGGAGGACGAGGAGCGCTGGGGGAGCACGGAGGAGCAGCCCAGCAGCCTGGCCCAGGACGTGTGCGAGGTAGGCGGTGGGGAGGGGGGGGATGGGTGGGACAATGCGGGTGATGGAGGGAGATCGGCTAGGCGGGACCTGGTCCCTTCACCTCTTCTCATCCTGCCTCCTGCCCCGAAGCTTCTGGAAGAGCACACGGAGCGAGCACCCCGCATCAGCCAGGAGTTTGGGGAGCGGATGGCCCACTGCTGCCTGGGGGGGCTGGCGGAGTTCCTGCAGAGGTATGGGGGCCAGGCGGCGTCAGGAGCTGGGATCCCACAGAGAGAGGAGGGATGAAATGGGATCAATAAGGACAGGGCGGGCAGGGTGCCGCAGCAGGGGTGGTGGCTTTGTAGATTCAGTGCCCAGCACAGGCCGGACCCAGCCCAGCGTGTTCCCTCTCCTGCCACCAGCTTCCAGCAACGCGTGGAACGATTCCATGAGAACCCAGGAGTCCGGGAGCTGCCACCTGACACCTATATCAGCAGGACCATCGCCCTGGTCAACTGTGGCCCCCCGCTGAGGTGAGAGAACCCACAGCGTGTTGGGGGAGGGGGGCAGGGCCAGTCCCAGGTGACAGCTGGCCTGGGGTGCCTGGTCCCTGGGTGGAGATCACAGAACTGACCACCCCCCCAGGGGAGGGCATGTGCATGGAACCTTAGAAGCATAAAATCTGGGAGTTCCAGAAACAACCATAGCATCACCAAGCATTGGAATCAGAGTCATCGGAAAATCGCAGCGTTAGAATTATAGAACTCTAAATTCAAAAGATATAAAGGGGCATACAGTGAAAAGTCTCATTCCTTCCATATCCTCCCCTCGCTCTGGGGCAGCCAGTATTTCTAGAATCTTACATGTCCTTGCAGGACACGCTTGCCAATAAATAGGTGTAAATAAATGTATATGTGCAGATGAGCACATATACACATTTTATACAAATACAAGTAACCATATTTAACTATGCGTGTATATGTTATTTCTTTCCTTTAAAAAAAATTACAAGGGGCAGAATATCGTACCCACTTCTGCCCTTTCCCCCATAACAGCTCGGAGGGCTCCTGTTAGGGCGTGAGGCGTTCATGTCTGAACCATGTCCCACTGCCTGGCTGTCCCCTCATTTATGTAACTGGTCCCCCGTGGAAGGGCGGTGGTTCCACTTTTCCAGGGAGGAACCTGGTACACATGTCATCTCCCAGGGGACCCTCTAAGGAGTCTTGCTAGAAGGGGTCCCCTGGCACAAGGCCCAGTGCCTGTGACTTGGGCAGCAAGTCACTTGCTGAACAAGTCACTTGCCCTTCGGCGGTGGAAGAACATGGTCTGCCACAGGGACAGACAGTGAGAAGGGTAGAATTTCAGAATTGTAGACATTTGGAACCACAGAATTCTAGAACAGAGGTCCTCCCTACTCCTGCCCAGAAAGCACCGAGAGCAACTGAGACCCAGAGACTCAGAGAGACCCCTCCCTCCCCCAGTATGCCCTACACCCCCCAGACATCTCCCAACCCCCAACACCCCCAGTTCCCCAGACACCCCCGGCTCCCCCAAATACCCCAGCCTCACCCCAGCATCCCCCCATCCCCTGACACTCCTCAGCCCCCAGGCCCACCCCAGGGCCCCTGGCCATCCCCTGGGCCTGACAAAATGGGGCCCACCCCATGATGTGGAGGAGACAGGTCTAGGCAGTTGGCCTGAGACGTTGGGGGCCGTGACTTTCGGTTCCACTGATCCCCAAAGGGCTCTGGCCGAGCGGCTGGCCAGGGTGGGGCCCCCTGAAAGTGAGCCGGCTCGAGAAGCTTCAGCCAGCGCTCTGGACCGCGTGACCCGGCTCTGCCATCGTGTTCTGGCTGACCTGCTGTTCCAGGAACTGCAGGTGAGTGGGGGGGGGGACGGGGGGCCCACTCCGGGGCAGGGAAGCACCCCCTCACCTCCCTGTCCCGCAGTTTCCTTCAGCCTGTGACTCAGTTTTTGGGAAGCAGGCAGGGGTGGGGGGTTAGGGCCATGCCAGGGCTGTTTGGGAGGGCAGAGGGGGGTACAGGAAGGAAAAGGTCGGAGGATGTGGCCAAGGGGGGAACAGCGCCACCAGCAGGTGGGGGCTTGGGGTTTGGGTGGAGCCCCTTCCCACTAAGGTCCCCCAGACCCCTTGCTCAGGCTCTCCTAGACCCTAGACCCCAAATTCCCATCTCTGGGGCCCTGCACACACCCCGAGGGGGCCAGGTTCAAAGGTGGGTGAGAGAAGGGGGGAGGGCAGGGCAGTAGGGGCACTGAGAGTGAGATGGAGGCGGGTATGTGTCCCCGGTTGTCATACATGCTCAACCCATGTCCCTTCTCTGCTCAGAGTCCTCCCATAGCCCCCAGCTCACGTAGAGCAAAAGCCCAAATCCTCACTGTAGCCCACTGGGGCTGCAGGGGCTGCCCGCTCCCTCCCAGACCTCAGCTCCTGACACTTTCCCCCTGCTGTCCCTTAACACAACAGGCACATTCTGCCTCAGGGCCTTTGCACTTGCGATTCCCTCCGCCTGGAATGCTCTCGCTCTGATAGCCACATAGCTCCCTCTCCCACCTTTTTCAAGTCTTGACTCAAATGTCACCTTCTCAGTGAAGCCCCAGAGACCCGCCTGCTGACTCCCTGCTGTATTTGTCTCCAAAGCACTGGCTGCCACCCACTCTGTCCTTTGCTTTTCTGTTTGTTTGTTTTACCTGCCTCCTCCCACTGGAATGGTAGCTTCTCAAGGGCAGGAATTCACTGGAATGTTTCTAAAATAATGTTTTATTATGGAAGACTTTAAACATACAGCCCCACAAGTAGGCAGAGTGACCCCTTCTGGACTCATCTTGAACTCCAGCAAATGTTACCTCTGGCCAATCCTGTTTTGTCCCCAACCCCACCTCTGAATTCTTTTAAAGATCCCCTACATCCTTGCCTGGTGCAGTGGCTCACGCCTGTAATCCTAGCACTCTGGGAGGCTGAGGCGGGCGGATTGCTCAAGGTCAGGAGTTCAAAACCCGCCTGAGCAAGAGTGAGACCCCCGTCTCTACTAAAAATAGAAACAAATTAATCGGCCATCTGAAAATATATAGAGGCTGGTCTGATGGTAGTGGGTTATCAGAAATTATTAACATTAGTGTCACTAAAGTTGGTATTCAACCCCCCACTGCTAAATTTGACTGGCTTAAAAAAAAATATATATATATATTAAAAATTAGCTGGGCATGGTGGCATGTGCCTGTAGTCCCAGCTACTCAGGAGGCTGAGGCAGGAGGATCGCTTGAGCTCAGGAGTTGAGGTTGCTGTGAGCTAGGCTAACACCACGGCACTGTAGCCAGGGCAACAAGAGTGAGACTCTGTCTCAAAAAGAAAAAAACCAAAAAACAATATAACATCAGTGTCGTTTTCATACCTAATAAGTGGAACAATAATTCCTTACTATCATCAGATATCAGATCAGTATTTAGAGTCCCCTGACTGGTTTGTGATTATCTTGTGCATGGAATTTGTTTGTCTCACTCTCTGCCATGTCCTCGGCATTTTGGGCATAATGGGTCCTTAGTGATCTACTCAGGACTGGGCCCACAGGAAGGGCTCAGAGAGTGGTTCTTGAGTGACTAAATGAATAAATATTATGTAGAGAAAGTGAGTCAATGGGGGAACTCGGGGATGCCGGGAAGAGGGTGCAGCCTTTGTTCTGGGCTTGGCTGCACAACTTCCAAGTAAGGAGGACCTTGGGCAGCTTTCTTGTCCTCTTGGGGCCTCTGTTTATACATCTGGAAAATGGGCACAGGAATTCCAGGCTTCTCAGATGGCTCTGAAGAAACAATAGGATTTGGGCCACAAAGTGCTTAACTCAGGGCCCAGCGTGCAGGCACTGGCCATGGCTGTCTGTGCAAATGCACAAGCTTCGCAGCAACAGCAAACGCGGCCCAAGCACTCCCTGTGCCCCGCTTTTCAACAGAAGCCCACAGGGCCCCGATTTTGGAGGTTCAGATAACTGGGCTGGTGTCCGGACGAGAGAGCAGGAACTGGGTGCTGGGGCCGAGAGGGATAGGGGTCTGCTTTAGGCCCCTGGGGACACCAAGCCTGGACATCCCGGCACCTCACATTCCCTGTGCCCACCCAACCCCCTCCAGCCTCCATCTCATGGACAGACCGACTGCCCACCGGTCCTCCCTTCTCTCCCAGCCGGGGGCCTCTCACCCATCTTCCCACCTGGCTTCTCCTCCCTACGCCCTCTCACCCCCACTTTCCCCTCCTTCCAGCCTCTGCCCATCCATCTTGGTAAACCTGACCCCTCTCCCTCCCGTGCTCAAATCCCACCATGGCTTCTAGTGCCCTTGGGGGGTGGGGTGGGGAGGAGCTGGGGCTTCTCACAGGGCCCAGCCCTGCCCACCTGGGCAGCCCCATGTCCCATGTCCTCTGAAACCCAGCTTGGTTTCATGCTCGGCTGTTGCTGTCTTAAAGTTCTTTTTTCTTTTTTTGGACAGGGAAAAAATTTTTTTTTTTTTTTTTTTTGAGACAGAGTGTCACTCTGTTGCCAAGACTAGAGTGCCATGGCATCAGCCTAGCTCACACCTCAAGCAATCCTCTTGCCTCAGCCTCCCCAGTAGCTGGGACTACAGGCATGCGCCACCATGCCTGGCTAATTTTTATTTTTCTATATATTTTTAGTTGGCCAATTAATTTCTTTCTGTTTTTAGTAGTGCTCAGGCTGGTTTCAAACTCCTGACCTTGAGTGATCCTCCAGCCTCGGCCTCCCAGAGTGCTAGGATTACAGGCGTGAGCCACGGCACCTGGCCTGAACTTTTTTTTTTTAATTATAAACAAAGGGACCATTTGGTGTATTTCAAAAGTGCAATGCTTTTTATTGATCAGTAAAAGAAGTTAGAAATTAATTTCCCCCCCAAATCAGCAAATGGCAGACAAATTTCCTTGAAAGTCACAGTCACATAATGTAGTGCATCTGGGAAAAGAGGGGGACCAAGACAGGGTCACGAGTTCCATCACATCCTGGCCTTCTCAAGGGTGGGGAGCGAAGCCACCTTTCACAAAGGAGTGTGCGATTTAGCGAGACACTGGCGCTGCTCCTTCCTAAGAGCATGCACGGGGAACGTGTTTCCTAAACTAGATCCAGAACGAGGAATGTGGAATTAGTCCGCCCTCCTTTGCTTAAGGGCTATCCACTGGTTAATGAATTTAAAAAACATGTCTTAAAGTTGTTAATTTTTGAATGCAGGTCGCCCGTTTTCTTTTCTTTTCTTTTCTTTTTTTTTTTTTTTTGAGACAGAGTCTCGCTTTGTTGCCCAGGCTAGAGTGAGTGCCTAGCTCACAGCAACCTCAATCTCCTGGGCTCAAGCGATCCTCCTGCCTCAGCCTCCCGAGTAGCTGGGACTACAGACATGCACCACCATGCCCTGCTAACTTTTTTCTAGTAGAGACTGGGTCTTGCTCTTGCTCAGGTCTTGAACTCCTGACCTCAAATGATCCTCCTGCCTCAGCCTCCCAGAGTGCTAGGGTTACAGGCGTGAGCCAGGCGTGAGCCAGGCGTGAGCCACCGCGCCCGGCCTCTGATCTAAACTCAGCCTTCTTCACATTGCTTCTTCCCTCCCATTGAGCCACACACACTGCCCCACTCCTTACCTGGCTAAGGACAATCATCACCTGGGCCTCCCCTCCTCCAGGAAGCCCTCCTGACTCTCTGCTGAGTCAGGCAGCCCCTCTGAGCTACCTAAACCCCCAGGCTCCTCTGTCCCAGCCCTGCCAGCTGTGGGTCATCACTGCCTGGGGACGGGTCTCTCTCGCCCTCTGGACTGTGAGCTCCAGGAGGGCACGGCCTGGGCTGTGTCATCCCTCACGTGTCCCTGGCACCACGGAGCCCTGGTTCAGCGCGGAGCAGAATTCTGGGAACCTATTTCTAAGTGCAGAGGGAGGGTGGGCGGGAGGAGAATGGCGACCCCCTGCTCTGTCCCATCAGCCACACTTCAACAAGCTGATGCGCCGGAAGTGGCTGAGCAGCCCAGAGGCCCTGGATGGCATCGTGGGCACGCTGGGCGCTCAGGCCCTGGCCCTGCGCCGGATGCAGGACGAACCTTACCAGGTGCGCACGCCCGGGGTGGGGGTGGGGAGAGCAAGACCGCTCCTGCTTGGGGCGACCCCCCTTCTAGATGGGGAGCACCTCTGGGGGGGTGGAGGAGGTGGCGCCCCGCCTGGGGTGTCCGGGAGGCGTGCCTGCGGGGACTGGGGCGTGGGGCGGGGTGCAGACTGGGTGGGCGCCTCTGAGAGTGGAGCTTGGGGAATGGAGAGAGGCTGGGGTGGGGCACCCTTTGGGGGCCGCTGGGGGTGTCCAGGGGCTGATCAGGGGCCGGGGAAGGCAAGATCGGGCAGGGAGGGGGTGGGGGCTGGAGCTGGGTGCCCTGCGGGAGGGGTTCCCGTTGGCCGCGCCCCCGAGTGGGGGTCGGTCTGGCACGCGGCTCACACTGCCGCACCCCCACCCACCCCGTGCCCGCCCGCAGGCGCTGGTGGCCGAGCTGCACCGGCGGGCGCTGGTGGAGTACGTGCGGCCCCTGCTCCGCGGGCGCCTGCGCTGCGGCTCGGCGCGGACCCGCAGCCGCGTGGCCGGGAGGCTCCGGGAGGACGCGGCGCAGCTGCAGAGGCTGTTCCGGCGGCTGGTCAGTGCGGGCCCGGCGGGCGCTCCGAGACCCGAGACCCGCACGGCTCGGCCTCGAGAACCCCAGGACTAAAGGCCGGGGACAGGGTGGGGGCGGGGGCGGGGGCCTCGCCCAGCTTCGGTCCCTGGAAACAGTTAACACCCGGATCCGCACCCTTTGCGCCTAAAAATCGGACAGCTCGCCTCGGATCGCTTTCCTTGGCTGCAAAAGGGGGAGAGGACGGGTCCCCTTCCACTGCTGCGGGGGTCAGATCAGTTATCCCTAAGTGCTGAGGACGGTCCCTAAACATTAACTGTTGCTACCAGCTTAAACGGAAGCTAAGCTAAGTGCGACAGAAACTCGGAAGTCTAACATTTCCAAGCGCAAGAATTAAAAATCGCCAGATCTTATTTGTACTCAGTTGTATTGAGCAGGACTGGAAGGGCCTCCTCGCTTAGACGCTCTTCCAGAAGTTTCTAGCGTGGAGTCCTTGGAATGTTTATTTTGGACAAATTTTTGAGAGAATTGTAGATTCACATGGGGATGTAGGGAAGAATGCAGAGCGCTCCCTCGTACACTTGATCCAATTTCCTCCCCATCGGAACATTTTGCAAACTTGGAAGCGGTTTCGAGGGGTGTCCCTGAGTCCCAGATTATCTGCAGAACAGGGAGGAGATGACACTGTGGATTTTTTTTTTTTTTTTCAAAATCTGGCTACGGTCTGTTTTCTGCGAGGTTTTTACAAAAGAGGAAACTGAGGCCAGGAGGGGGAAGAGCAGGCCAGCGTAGGGAGAGGGTGTGGCTTGGAGGGGACGTCGGGGCGTGGGATGTGAGCGCGGGCCCTTCCCTGCAGGAGTCGCAGGCCTCGTGGCTGGACGCCGTGGTGCCCCATTTGGCCGAAGTCCTGCAGCTGGAAGACACGCCCAGCATCCAGGTGGAGGTGGGGGTGCTGGTGCGCGACTACCCGGACATCAGGTGAGAGGCCCCGCCTGCCGCCCGCCGCCCCGGCCTGGCCGAGGTCTCCCCGCGGCCTTGGCGGCGGTCCCAGCGTTTCCTGCCTCCTGGGCGAGGGAGGGAGGTGGCGAGCGTGTCTGACGGCCGTTTCCTGCTGGAACCAGGGCATTATTAATACGATTTCCCTCCTTCTCCTGCCGCCGCCGCCACCAGGGCTTGCAAACAAACAGGCGGTCACAGGAAGCCCAGGGCAGGGGGGCGCGGGGCCGCCCGCCCGCCGGCAGGAAGGGCCGGCCCGGTAGGGGAGCCGCGGGGGACACGGGGACACGCATGGGCACGCGGGCGCACACGCACTGGGACAGCGGCTGGCGCAGGCGCCATTCAAATCCTGGTGGGCCACTTCCTTTCCATGTGGCCCTCTCTGAGCCTCAGTTTCCTCATCCATTCCATGGGGATAATAATACTCTCTTCTTGGGGTTATTGGGGAAATACTACATCGTCATCATCATCATCGTCATCCTTGTCATACACAGCACTAACCATACCAGTTCTTGCTCCTTGAGTTATTTCAAACCTAAATAAGCATCTGACGTGTCCACTCTATAAGAGGTATAATTAAGATTATTTTAGAAAATATATGCAAGTAACTCATGGGAGGCATGCAGAAATTAAATATCTCCTCTCAAATATCACAGCTAGCCAGCTGCAAAGCCGGGACTTGAACCCAGGCAGCAAACTGGCTCCAAAGCCAGCGCACCAGACCACGACACCACACCACCCCACCCTCTGCGAGCGCTGGGTGGCAGCACTGGTGGCAGCACCGCTAGTCCCGCAGTGCTTTTCAGGCTGACTGAGATTTTGTACTCAGAGATGCAAAACCCTAGGGAAATAAGGACTGAGGCAGGAGTGGGTTTATGTTCCAGGATCGAGGGTGAGGGTTCTGGAACTGATTCAGGATGGTCAGTTCTGGTTCTGGGGAATGGGGTCATGTCCTCGGGAAGGCACAGAGCCCTGGGGTCCTAAGGCGTCCCAAGGGGTCCCAGTATTCCTGCTGGGTTGGAGTGCCTGAACTTGAATCTTGGATCTTGGATCAGAACTTGAATCTGAAGCTAAGTTTGAAGAGTTCTCTAGCTGGGCTGGGAGAAGCGATTCCAAAGCTGAGTTTGGAGGCCCTGTTTTGGAGCTTGATTGAGCTGGAAGGTTCTTGAGCCATGTTTTGGATGACTATTTTGGAGCTGTGGGGATTCCAAACCTGGCATATGGGAAGATGAAGACACTGGGCTGGGCTGAAGGTGGCAGGAAAGACCCCAGAGCTCTGTTTGAAACGAATGTTCTTGAAAGGAAATGTCAGGTTCAGGATCTTGAGTTGAAACATGGGTGTTGGTTCTGGAGTGGAGTTTTGGCTCTGAGATCTGGAGCTGATATGGGGGTGAAGGGAAAGGTCCTAATGTGTTGGGTTTAGCGGCAGGGGTTGCAGAATAGAGCTGGTTTGGGGCACGGAGTTTCTGGTTGGAGTGAGGGTCCTCAAGGTGAGTTTTAGTCCTGGAGTGGAATTTTGGTGGAACACGATTCTGGGAATGAGATGGGGGTGAAGTGAGTATTCCAAGGTCAAATGTGGGGATGAAAGTTCTAGAATGGGTTCTAGATTGAGAAGTCTTGATTTGCATTTTGGGCAAGGGTACCAGGATGGAAATTTCGGAGTCATCTGAGCTAAGATGGGGGTGAAGATTGAAGGTTCATTTTCATCACAAGCTGAGGTTTGGGGTGAACAGGAAGATTTCAGGGCGGGGTTTGGAGGTGAACATTCTGGAATGGACTGTAGGTGGGGGGGTATTTGGAAGTGGCTGGGAGTGAAGTTTTGGAGGGGAGCTGGGATGAGGTGAGGGTCTGGGACGAGGGAGCTGATTCCAGAGCCGGTGGGGGCCACGCGGGGTCCACTCCTAGGCCTGCGGTACCCCTGGAGCCAAAGACCCCCCACGCCCCTCTCTGTTCCTCTCCCCCCAGGCGCAAGCACGTGGCGGCCCTCCTCGACATCCGGGGCCTGCGGAACGCGGCTGCCCGCCAGGAGATCCTGGCCATCGCGCGGGACCTGGAGCTCTCTGAGGGGGGAGCCCTGTCGCCCCCTCGGGACCGTGCTTTCTTCGCAGACATCCCCGTGCCCCGCCCGCCTTTCTGCCTCGGCCTCCCCCTCTTCCTGGGCCGCCTCCCCGTCTCCCGGCTGGCCAGGCCCAACCTGGCCTGTCTGCCCCGGGCCCGGCCGGCGTCCCCCGCGCGGCCCCGGGCCCAGCGCTGAGGCCCGCGCCGCCCCGACTCGGGCGCCCCCATGTGCTGCTGGCGAGCATTCCTCGCGCGAGCATGGCCGCCTCCCGCCGCCGCCGGGCCCGACGCAGAGCCCCGGGAGGGCAAGACCCTGAGAGGTTTTCTCACCCTACCCCAACGTCAGAAGGGAAACGGAGGCCAGAGGGAGCACGGACCTTCCCAAGGCCACGGAGCCGGTTCCCAGCACCCCTCCCGCCGCTGCCCGGTGGGGTAGGTGGCCTTCTGGAAGGCTCTACAGAAACATCCCGGCGCCGCCCCCCTTTCCCCTCACCTCAAGGTCTGGCCCAAGTCCAGTGTATTAAGGAATGTTCGATACTTAGAATAAAGAGGTTTCTATTTAACACAAGGAAGGGCCGAGTCCCGAGTGTGGGGGAGGAAGGGCCGGGCAGGGCCCCGGGCCAAGCGCTGCTCTCACGCCCAAGGCCGGCGGGGCCCCGGCTCCCGGGCAGGGCGGCGGCCGCGCAGGGCCGGAGCCACCGGCGACCCTGTGTGCAGAGACTTGGGCTGTGTGGCTCCGAGGCAGGCCCTTGGCCACTCTGAGCCAGGGGCCCTCACGGTGTCAATCCCAACGTGCCCGTCCTTTCCCGGGCCTGGCAGTTCCATCGTGGCCCGCCCGCCCCATCCATCTTTAGCCGGGAAGCCGCGTCCAGAGAGGAAGGAGGTTGGGGGCAGGGCCGGCGGCATCTAGGGCGCCCTCCTGGGTTGACGCAGGAAAATCTCAGGGTGGGAAAATTTCCAGCCTCCCTCACCCTCAGCCCCGCCGGATCCTGGTCCCCACGGAGACCTTGAGGTCATCCCCCTGCTGACCCCTGCCCCTCCTGCCTGGGCTAGACAGCACATGATGGATGTTTCCTGGCTTGTGGGTGTTTTTTTTTGTTGTTTGTTTTTTGTTGTTTTTCCTGAGAAGTCAGAAAGAGGAGGCAGCCCGGGGTCAGCACTTGTAGCTGGGGTTGGAATCTCACACGTGTGAACTCAGGGAGGTGGAGGCTCCGGACTCTTGGAGCCTCAGGGCTGTGTGACCCTGGGTAGGAAGCTGCCCCTCTCTGGGCTGTGATTCCGATCCTCCCCAGGGGATTGCTTAACCCCTCTTTGTCTAGGCCCGAGTAAGATGTCTAGAGGATGTACCTCCAAAAAAACCCGACACTTTAATGTCATTGATATGCAAAAGAACAAGGGAAAAGTTGAAGAATCCTCTGCAACAGTATGTTTCAGTCTGTAGACATTTAATTAAAATGCATTAACCTCAGTTGTTGGCAATGTTCTTTTCAGATTTTGGGCCTCCATTTAAAAACAGCTTTACTGAAATATAATTTACATAGCAGACAATTCATTCATTTAAAGTGCACAATTTGGGCCGGGCGCGGTGGCTCACACCTGTAACCCTAGCACTCTGGGAGGCTGAGGCGGGCAGAGTGCTTGAGGTCAGGAGTTCGAAACCAGCCTGAGCAAGAGCGAGACCCTGTCTCCACTATAAATAGAAAGAAATTAATTGGCCAACTAATACATATAGAAAAAATTAGCGGGGCATGGTGGCGTATGGCTGTAGTCCCAACTACTCGGGAGGCTGAGGCAGGAGGATCGCTTGAGCCCAGGAGTTTGAGGTTGCTGTGAGCTAGGCTGACGCCACGGCACTCACTCTAGCCTGGGCAACAAAGCGAGACTCTGTCTCAAAAAAATAAATAAATAAAGTGCACAATTCAATAGCCCTTCTATTCACAGAGTGGCGCACCCATCAATTTTAGGACATTTTCATTATGCTCAAAAGAAACCACACATCTCTTGGCCTCCACTCCCGGGCCCTGGCAACCACTGATCTGCTTTCTGTCTCTATGGATTGGCCTGTTCTGGACATTTCATGCAAATGAAGTCACATACCACGTGGTCCTTTGTCACTGGCTTCTTCCGCTTAGCATAAGGTTTCCAGGGTCCCCCCATGTTCTAGCACGTGGCAGTGCCGTGTTTGTTTTTATGGCTGAATACTATTCCACCGTATGGATGTACCACGTGTCATTTATCTGTGTTTCGGTTGATGGAAGTTTTGTTTTTTTCCACTTTGTGGCTATTACGAAGATCACACCCGATTTTTTTCTGGGTTGCATTTTCTCAGGGCCCCTGGGAAGCTCTGATTTTACTCTGACCCTCAGTTTCCACTTTTGTAAAATGGAGAGGAAGGGCCTGACAGCTGCATTTATTGAGCGCTTACTGAATGCCAAGTACCCTGCTCCCATGGATTCACTAAGTGCCTTTGCAGGCGACTGTGGGTTTGAATCCCGATGCCATCCTTCTCGAGTTGGGGACTGGGGTGGGGTTGCTCTGTTCACCGGCTGCCTGTACTGTGCAAGGGGCTGGCTGAGTGTGTCCTAAATGCAAAGAGTCCCATGGCACTGTCCCTGTGGCCTTTTGAGTAGAGGCTGTTCACAGGGAGGAGGGAGGCTCATAGGAGTGGGCAATGGCCAATGGACTCAGTGTGTCAGAGGCAGAGGCTGGGATTCGAACCCTGATAGGATGGTCTCTAGGACCACTCAGCCACAATCTACCAAGTCCTGCTTCCCCGCCCTCCCATGAGAGTTTTTATCAGGAATGGGCTATGAAATTGGCCAGATGCTTTTTCCGCTTCATTTATGGTAATCAAACTATTTTCTCCTTTATTCTGTTAATAAGGCAGATGACTTAGATTGGTTTGTGCGTAACCAACAAAAATTCAACAACCTTGAATTTTTCAGCTATGTCACTTGAATTTGCAACAAGGTAAAGATGCAGACTATAAACTCTAAAGCAACCACGAAAATAACAAAACAAAGAGCTATAGATAATATACCCACAAAGAATATAGAGTGGAATCGTGAAAAATACTTGATTCACCCAAAAGAAGGTAGAAAAAGAGAACAAAGACCAGATAGGACAGATAGGAAAAATATGAAGATAAATAAATTCACATCTAACCATATTAATAAGCACATTAAACCCAAATTATGGGCTGGGCGAGGTGGCTCACGCCTGTAATCCTAGCACTCTGGGAGGCCGAGGCGGGCGGATTGCTCGAGGTCAGGAGTTCGAAACCAGCCTGAGTGAGACCCCGTCTCTACTAAAAATAGAAAGAAATTAATTGACCAACTAAAAGTATATATACAAAAAATTAGCCGGGCATGGTGGTGCATGCCTGTAGTCCCAGCTACTTGGGAGGCTGAGGCAGGAGGATCGCTTAAGCCCAGGAGTTTGAGGTTGCTGTGAGCTAGGCTGATGCCATGGCACTCACTCTAGCCTGGGCAACAAAAGTGAGACTCTGTCTCAAAAAAAACCAAAAAAACAAACAAAAAAAAAAAAACCCAAATTATGTAAACACAGTTATTAGATAGAGATTGTCAGACTGAATGAAAAAAGCAAGACCCAATTTTACGCTGCCACAAGAAATGCACTTTAAATATAAAGACATTTTATGTATAAAAGTTAACTCAAAATGAACCATAGCCCTAAATGCAAACCTAAAAGTAGAACATTTCTATAAGAAAACATAGGAGAAATCTTATGATCTTTGTGAGGGGGCAAAATTTCATTATATACAACACCTAAAGCATGATTAATAAGAGAAATCCTTGATAAATCAGACTTCATCCAAATTAAAAACTTGTCACTGTCATCCACAGCCTGGACGACACAGGAAGACTGTGTCTCAAAGGAAAAAAAATGTAAAAACTCCTGCTCTTCAAAAACTATTAAGAGAATCAAAAGACAAGCCACAGATTGTAAGAAAATATTTGCAAATCACAAACTTGATAAGCAACTAGTATCCAAATACTTTAAGAACTCTTAAAAATCAATAGCTAGAAAACAACTCAATTCTTTTTTTGAGACAGAGTCTCACTCTGTTGCCCAGGCTAGAGTGAGTGCCCTGGCATCAGCCTAGCTCACAGCAGCCTCAAACCCCTGGGCTCAAGTGATCCTCCTGCCTCAGCCTCCCGAGTAGCTGGGACTACAGGCATGCGCCACCATGCCCGGCTAATTTTTTCTCTATATATTAGTTGGCCAATTAATTTCTTTCTATTTATAGTAGAGACGGGGTCTCGCTCTTGCTCAGGCTGGTTTCGAACTCCTGACCTTGAGCAATCCTCCCGCCTCGGCCTCCCAGAGTGCTAGGATTACAGGCGTGAGCCACCTCGCCCAGCCAACAACCCAATTCTTAAAAATGGGCGAATGATTTGAACAAACATGTCACTAGAGAAAATATGCAGACGGCAAATAAGTACACAAAGAGATGCTCAACATCACCAGTCCTTAGAGAAATGCAAAGGAAAACCATACCAAGGTCACTACCCACGTATTAGAATGAACGTGAAAAAGACTGAGCGTACCAAGTGCTGGGAAGGGTGTAGAAGAAATGCAACTTTCACACCCTGCTAGTAGGAATGTATAATGGTGCAACCACCACATTGAAAAAACAGTCTAGCAGTTTCTTTTCTTTTCTTTCTTCCTTTCTTTTTATTTCTATTTTTTTTTTTTTAGAGACAGGGTGTCACTCTGTCACCCAGGCTGGAGTGCAGTGGTATGATCATAGCTTACTGTATGTAACCTTGAACTCTTATTAGGCTCAAGCCATCCTCCTGCCTTAGCCTTCTGAGTAGCTAGGGCTACAGGCTCATGCACCTAGCCCAGCCTCAGCTGAACCACAGACATCAGATTGCAGTTGACAATATCTGAGATGCTCTGGGGAAAAAAATGGGGCCAGTCACTCTCTCCCTCTCCACCGGCCCTGCCACACTCCCACATTTTATTTTCTAACTTACCTTCTTTTTTTTTTTTTTAAGTGGCACCTACTATAATTTAACATGCATACACTCTTGGAGCCATCGACTCCAGTTCTAGAAATTGGTTTCTTTCCAAGATACTCACACACGTGGAAAATGAGAATGTTGAAAGATATTTATTCCTTGCAACACTATTGTAGTCTCAATTAACAGGAAACACCCTGATTGCTCAACAGTATGGGATACCAAATACAGGGTAGCTAATGGGCGGGCCGCTGTGTGACCAGGGAGGGGCATGGCTCAGCTGTTTTTATTCTGATTGGAAATATCTCCAAGATGCATGAGGCTACTTTAAAAAGGCAAAGTGCAGAACAGCAGGTCTCCAGCTGAATAAAAAAAAAAATACACCTACATGCTTCCATGTACATAGAGAAAAAAAATACCTACCACATTATTAATTGGGGATCACATCTAGGGAATGGGATTGGAGGTAGAAGGGAGAATTTCACTTTCATTCTATAAATTACTCCCTTTGGATTTTTTTGATCTGTAAACATCTTATAAAAGTATAGGCCAAAAAAATTAAAAAATCATATAAAAAATTTAAAAAAAAAAAGTATAGGCCGGGCGCGGTGGCTCACGCCTGTAATCATAGCACTCTGGGAGGCCTAGGCAGGAGGATTGCTCGAGGTCAGGAGCTCGAGGCCAGCCTGAGCAAGAGCGAGAACCCTGTCTCTACTAAAAATAGAAAGAAATTAATTGGCCAACTATAAAAGAATAATATCGCAAAAAATAGCCGAGCCATGTGGCGCATGCCTGCATTGTCCCAGCTACTTTGGAGACGCTGAGGCCAGGAGGAATCGCTTGGAGCCCCGAGGAGTTTGAGGTGCTGCTGAGCCTAGGCGACGCCACGGCGGCACGTCTAGCCCGGGCAACAGAGTGAGACTCTGCTCAAAAAAAAAAAAAAAGTATAACACACACACCAGTGTGCATAGATCTTTTGTGTGAACACAAATCTTTGTTTGTGTGTTTTTTTGTTGAGACAGAGGCGTCTCACTTTGTGCCCAGCTAAAGTGAGTGGCCAGGGCCGTCAGCCTAGCTTCACAGCAACCCAAACTCCGGGCTAAAGTGATCCTCCTGCCCTCAACCTCCCAAGCTAGTCTGGGACTACAGGCATGCCGCCACGGCATTGGCCGGCCAATACTTTTGGTCGTATGATAAAGTTGGCAATTAATTTCGGGTGGTCCGTATTCATAGCTAGAGGATGGGGGTCAGTTTGCCTCTGCTGTGGTGTTTTCCTCAGGCCTGGTTTGAACTCCGACCCGAGGCCAATCCGCCCACCTCGCGGCCTGGCCCAGAGGTGGCTAGGCTTACAGGTGTAACAACCTGCCGCCCGGCCGGGTATGAACACATCTGTTAACCCTCCAGGCCCGATAGCGAAATCAATACTGACAGGTGCTCCCCAAGATGTTCCCTCTGCCACCACCACCCTTGCCTGCCTCCA